CCCCAAAACCCCAAAACCCCAAAACCCCGGGTATTTCATAACCAATAGTTTTCGATGTAAATAAAGCCAAATTTACTAAATTATATACTCTTGAGGATAATATGAATTATAAATTTTAAATAATTAGGTGTTTTATCCAGTTGTTATTATTATAAATGTCCCTATTGGTTCCAAATAAACATTAATCCTCAATTACAAATCTATCAAAGATTGATAACAATCTTTTGCACCTATCTGGTCTTAAGAAAGTTAAGAGAAGGCATTCTTAGTCTCCAAATTGATCAACAAGGTAATTAGCTATTCCTTTTACCAATATTTTATTTCATCTAGAAAGCGAATGACAGTTGATAATGTCATTACTCCAAAAGAGTCAGCTAATATAGAATAATGGAATGAGATAAGAGTTTCTAATACTCTTCCTTCAAGAAGAGCTCATCATTCATCTCTTGTAGTTGGAGAACTGTAATGATTACATATTTAAAATATACTCTAGACTTTATGTTTACGGTGGTGTTGATACAAGACAAGGAATGTGTAGTGCAGACTATCTTTGGGCTGTAAATCCTTTGGGTTAGTTTCTCAAATGGGAGTGCCTAAAAATAGAAGATAAACCCAGGATATTGCCAGGTATGATTATGATTACATCATTTTAAAATAGAAAGTATATGCAGACACTAAATGATCCTACTAAATCACAACTAGGATGTTATAGTTGTAGGTGGGTAAAGAGTTCAGAAATAGGTGATAATTACTGCATCTTCTAGGTATCTTAATGAAATAAATTTTCCTCAAAATTATTAGATAAGTTAACTTTGGAGAACCTTATAGCCCCAGCAGAAGAAGGAGACAAAGCTCAAATAAAAATTTTAAAAGATTGAACCCACTCTGCTTTCAAATAAATTTAAAGACTCTTAGATCTTAGAATTTTTAAGTTGCAGTTCTATAACCAAGTTCAGGTTAAAAACTTAATGATAAAATGGCGCATTTTGATCTGACATGTATCGATTCACACACTGCTGTTTTTTACAAGCCAGAAAATATTATTATCACATTTGGTGGTTACTACAACAATGCATTCATCAACAATTTCTTATCATTGATTCATGTATAAAGTAAAAAATGGATTATTGCAAATGATTTAATCAATTCCCCATTTCCTTTAGCGAGATGTGATCATGCTGCAGTATTATTAGGCGACAAAATGTATCTAATGGGAGGTAAAAATATCGAACTAAATATGTAATTCAATGATCTATGGCTGTTTGATATTCCAAATTACAAATGGCAATAGGTTCTTACTCCTTTCAATAATTCTCTTCCTCCCCCAAGATCAGGCCATGCAATCACAGCAGACGAAGAAAGTGGGAAAATATACATATTTGGTGGATCATCTTTAACCCAAACCCAAGAACTTAATGATTTCTATTCTTTTGATACTAAAAAGGAGGTATGGGAACTTCTACACGCATCGCATTATCCAGAGGACGTGTCATAAAGTTTGCTAAATTTTCCAGGAAATGCTCTTAAAAGGCTTACTAGAAAATTAACTAATCAGTTGAGCTTTATAAAGAATTAGCAACCTTTGACACCGCTTCATCAAGCTCAAAAAAAAAGATAAGAATACATGAAGATGAAACAGATGCACTCAAATGTTAATAGCTTTTTAGATGATAGTACAGTTTAGTCAAAACATGGAAGTATTTTAAATGCTATAAATTTTACAAAACCTAGCTTTGCCTTTACCCCTTTCAATTTTAATAAAAATGTAGTTTCTCCGACTGCAACAGGCTCATATATTTTAGATTCAGAGAAGGATGTTTCTGTTAGTAGACTACCTATTCCTAAATTTGATAATTAAACTTAAGAGGAAATAAAAGAAAATGTAAAGAATTAGTGTGAATAGAACTCTTAATAAGACCAGTAAAACGAAATTCTCGATTTAACTTACTCTCCAGGAGAAGCATTATTTAGACAATAATAAAATTTGATAAGGATTACAAAATTAAGAAAGAAAAATCTTAAGAATCAAATAAATTATGAGAGTAAAACTTCTGAAGCTTATAAGAAATATAAGGAATTAAGAGATTCATAGATGCCTTTCAGATAAACTAATGATTACCAATTTTTATAATCCAAGAAAAGATTTTCAATGGACGATCAAAACTCCTAATTGAATCTGTCATCATAAATATTGGCCTAGTCTAAACCTCTTTTTGAGGAAATGAATGTCAGGATCTAAGATCAAGAAGGTTATCCAGTGATTTATCATAAGAGAGCATTTAACATATAATATACTAACTTCATCAATACTTATTTTAAGTCTTAGAAAGATAGAAATGAGTATTTAGAGCAAGTAAAAAGCTAAAATATTGAACAGGAAATTAACCAGTTTGATTCTGAAGGAGAACAGCGAGAAAAAGATCGAGATAGAGATTAATTTTAGAAAAGTATGCTACCTGAAATACCATAAATTTTAGTTGACCATATAAACAAAGTTGATACTCTTAGATATTTCTAGAGAAAGAAATATCTTAAAGATAATATTGGTAAATCAAGATAAAAATACGTAGGAAACTAGGCTAATACCTCGTTTAAAGTGAACAAGAATTCTAAAGATAATTTAGTTCAAGATAATTCCAATCAATTATAATCTTAGAAATACTTATAGTAAAGTAAGACTAATATAAACTCACCTACAAGCAGTAACCTATCACCAGCCAAAAGGTAATAGATTTGGTCTCCAAAAACTGAAGTAAACTCTCCTTAAGGTTCACCTAGTAAAAGCAAAAAAGAATAAGGATTCTCTTAATTGTTAGAGGCAAGCACAAACAAAGCAATAAACAACTTTCTCAGATTTGATTAGTTAGATCGAATGACACCCACAAGTAGATAACTTAAGGAATCAATGATCGGAAATTTGTAGTAGTACTGTGATTTAAAAGCAATAACTAAAGAATAATAGCAAATAAAGCATTAACAACACTAGTCAAAGTCTTCACATAAAATGTTTTCTCCTCGGGAAGGAATCGTTTCTGGGAAATTCCCCACTCAAAGAGATGGAATGACTATTAATTTGATGTGTGAATATTCGGATGAAATTGGAGGTAAAAATCAAAAAAGCATTATATTATTTGGAGGAGATAGATTTAGAATGACATACAACGATTTGTATTGTTTTAATCTATGAATTTATTACAATGAGATGATTATTTAATTCTTTGATTTCATCATTCCTTATATTTTTAGTTAATTCAATTCTTTGGGGTTTTGGGGTTTTGGGGTTTTGGGG